TCAGACGAGCACTGCACTTAGCAGCAAACTTAGTTTGTGGGGCCGAACCGGAAGTTCGCCGAAGACGTTGGATCTCTTAGGAGTCAGTAATCCTGATGGAACATAACCGAAAGATACCAATCTGCCAGAATCAGCATAGAAACCGGTGGCGCCTGCAACGTAAGCTCAGGAAAAGCCTAAAGTGAGCGCAAATTGGAGGGCCAAAATAGCTAGTTAAATAGAAGTAGCTCCCGCATCAGTGGACAGTCAGACTGGTTCATCTGATACGCAGCACTGGAAGTCGTTGCAGACCGATCAACAAGATCAGTTGCGATAAAAGTGAACAGAGAACGAATTTTTGGTAGAGAAAGGTATCGAACAGTTTAATTGGTCTGATGCTAATGCGGTTATTACGGCCATTGCAGCGAAAACTCTAGTAACATATGAGCCCCCGTCAGAATTCGAAGTTCATTTTCAGTTTGAACACACATTAACCACGCATATTCGTGCACCGGTTTTGGCTGCTGTCTTTTGGCTGCCCATTTGGATGAAGAAAAGAAGAAAGGAAACTTGAAAGTGGAGTCGAAAAAATGGAGAAGTTCAGCGGTCTAAGGTTGCAAAAAGATTGAGAAGATGCACGAACACCACTGGTTGCGACACCCAGCCATATTACTCAGTGTCTCTAACCATCTGTTACCATCATCTTGAGGTCCCCAGCCAGGGAGCCTAACAGGACCTATGTGACCCAGTCTCCCGGTTAGGGTTTTCATACCCTCGTGCCAGGTCCTAGCTTGACCCCGCTTGACTTTTCTCCACTCGGTGTCAGCTTCGGGGAACATCGCTCGCCGTGGTAACCCATCTGGTGACATGCGTAACACATGTCCCAACCAACGTAGTCTATGGAGTTCAACCACTTGCTACAGTGGGCGACCGCGGATACCCAAAACTCTGCGCGTCACCACAGCATTGCTCAACCGGCTACCCCACCAGATTCGTGCAATGCTGCGTAAACAGCGGTGTTCAAACACCGACAGTCTGTCTTTCTTAATGGCCAAAATTCTGCACTGTATAGCAGGACTGGCCGAACTGCTGCAGCATACACTCGACCCTTCACAGACAGCCGGATGTTGCGACGGCGCCACAGATGTCTCAAGTTGGCAAATGCCAACCGAGCCTATTGTATGCGAGCTGACATTTCATTCGTGATGTGTCCACCGGGTGAGATGTAGCTGCCCAAATAACAAAACTTATCTACCTGCTCTATTACTTCCCAGATAGAGTGAGGCTGGGTGCTGGACCAACCCAGTCTGGTAGTAACATTTTACACTTTGAAGGTGCAAAACGATTACTGAATATGACTACCGTGGCATCCAAGTTATCCAGAAATGCTTGCAACTCACCTGGATATTCACTAAGTAGCACGTCGTCTGCATACTCTAGATCAGACAACCTGCCACTTGGGAGTAAATGGATACCGCTATCCTCGCACGAGGATAGGGCTGTTTCCATAATCAGATCTACAGCAAAGTTAAATAGAAATGGAGAGACGGCAACCCTAACGAACACCACTTTTCGTGGTGAACTCGGGCGAAAAAGTGCCGTAAGCCCGGACTCGACTTCGGCTATTATTGTAGAGGGATTGCAATATTGAAATTAACTTCTCGGGCACTCCCTTCAGGGAAAGGCAGCGCCAGGGTTGAGAGTGGTCGACTGAGTCGAAAGCCGCTTTTAGATAGAGGAAAATAAAAATGGTTGGTCTAGGAAAGGAGTGTTTCTGTTCTAGAATTTGACGAAGTGTGAAGATATGGTCATAACAGCCTCGACCAGGTCTGAAACCGGCCTGATTCTCACGCGTGCAGCGTTCACGTGCGGCAGACAATCGACGGAGTACGATACCGGCGAGAAGTTCAGGGACGATATTGATTAAACTAATTCCGCTGTGGTTTTCACAGGAGAATCTATCACCTTTCTTGTAAATCGGTATGATCACCGATTCACATCATTCAGTTGGAACCTTTTCGTTCTCCCACACTGAGCCCAGGAGTTTTGTTAACTCCAAAACCAAGGCTGAGCC